TGGGGGGGGGGGGGGGGACTCTTGCAGAACTTTTTTTTTTTTTTTAAGTGAAACATGACAACCAGCATTACAGGTCAAGTATAACAGAAGGAACAATCACTGTCAGAACCCTGCCTAACCTAACAAACAGGAAGTTGCTTAAATGTTATTAACCTGCCCAAACTACTTATTTGTTCAAATATTTATATCTCACTTTCCCCTGTGATTCAAGGCAGCTTACAGATAATACTGAAAAGCATAATAGGGGTGTGCAAAAAATAATAATAATAATTTTTCTGGCTCCATTGTAACCTATGGGGACCATTATAGTCAATGGACCCCATAGGCTATAATGGATAATTGATCTGGGGGTATCTGGGGCTCGGGGAGGGGGGCTGGTTTTTGAGGTAGAGGCACCAAATTAGTAACATAGCTGTTGGTGCCTCTCCTCAACCCCCCCCCCCTTTTCAAAAAGATTGGACCAGGGGATTCACTTCTATGGTAGGAGTTGCCCCCATCCTCCATTACTTCCAGTGGAGGGGGAAATGCCTTGTGGTCTGAAAGCAGTAATCCCTGCGCTGCCTGTTAAAATGTTGTGCACCAGCACCCCCTAGTGCAGTTTAGAGGGAACTATGAATCCAGTAATATTAAACATGACCATTAACATAACCAAATACATGATCACCACCATAGACCAGAATTAGAAGACGGCGCGGGAGGTAGTGTGTGAAAGAGTAATGGGGTGAGTACCACTGCTTTTAACAGGGTAAATAGAGAAAGGTCCTCCAACCCCACAACACCTCCAATCCCAGCATTGTCCTTAGTGGGGATGATGGGCAAGATAGGCTGTGGCCGTTATGGTGATAGAAGGGTGCCTTGGCGTCCCTAAGATGGGCAGATAGCTCTTTGATGTGTTAACACCTCTTGATCGGATGGGCCGTGTTTTGGTGGGCCTGAGCCCGAGAACCTGGCACCCAGATGGGCTAAGGCCCTGGGAGTCCACGTGGGGAATGATCTGAAAAGAGGAGATGTTCCTTTGGGGTTTTTTGGGGGGGGTTGCATTTTTGGTGGTCATTGTTGAGGGAAGCACGTTTGCTTCTGCGTGCATTGTGACGAGGGACAATAGAGGGGAATGGTGCCAGAGGATGCTTCTGGTTGTCCCTGGGGTGAGGGTGCCATGCAGCCGTCAAGGACCAGATGCTCCAGGATTGTCATTAACTAGCCAGTAACTTTAATTTAACTTGATTCGGTGTACCTAGAACTTGTCTCGTAGTTACCCTGAGTCTGTGCATGGTAGTAATAAAGCTGTTTAACGAGTCTGAACGTTTTCTTACTCACTGGCCTTGCTACTGGGCATATTAATGAAATACACCCCTTCAGGGTCGGGTGATACTAGGAGAGAGAAGGATGTAGGTTTTACCCTGAGGTGGTGTCACACTATCAGAGAGGGGTGATTAGCGACTCTCTGCCCCAGCCTCCTGACTGGGCTGAGAGCTGGCAGGGGAATTCTGGGAAGAAAGTACGCTTGCATTTACAGGGTAGTAAGGCTATCCCACCATAGTCCTGCTCAGCAGTCTGAGGCCAAAAAGCTTGGGGGGGTGGGGGGAAGGCCACCCAGTGTCACACACATCCGGCTTCCAGTTCAGTGGTCTTGGGGCTTCCCTGGCACCCAGAGCCTTTTCCAGCACACTGCGGTGTGTGTCCTCCCAGTGCAAGAGTGTGGGGTGTACTTGGTGCCTGCCCTGGCTGGAGCTGAGCCTTCTCTCGCCTGAGCCCAGTTAGCACTGTCTGGTTAGAGGCAGAGCAACAAGGTCTTCTCTCTAAAATGGCCGCCACCCAGCTAGGCATTCCCAGGTTGTCCCCTGCATTTACTCAGTTCCTGTCCTTCTCGAGAAATCAGCCCCTGTGTCCCCCTCCATTTTTTAAAGCCATTGTTGTGCACGATATGCTGCTCCCTAGCCTGGGCATGGGGAAGAGAAGGGTCGCAGAGTACCAGGGGTTCCTGCGTAACACGGTGCCCCATTGTATCCTAGGCAAGCACTGGAGCTCATTGAAACACCCTGCGGCGATCGTTGGCTGTTCCTTGCTGGAGGCACAGAAGGGCGAGGCTGAGGAGGCAGAGACGGTCAGCGCCATGGCTTCGCTGTCGGTGGACACAGAGCAGGGGAAGGCAGACTGCACTGTCCGGTACGCTTGCTCACTTGGATCAGGGATCAGGGATAGCAGTGCTGGAATGTCTTGACTGAAGTTCCTGATGGGTTGTACCCTCTCTGAAATTGTGTACAGGCATACATCTTTTTAGGAGCTGCGGTGGCTCAAGTAGTTTAGGGGAGCTGCGGTGGATCAAGTGGTTAAGACGCTGAACTGCAGGCTGTGGAAGGTCGGTAGTTCAGCAATTCGAGACCCGAGTGTGCCGCATGACGGAGTGAGCTCCCGTCTCTAGTTCCAGCTCCTGCCAACCTAGCAGTTCGAAAGCAAGAAATTGCAAGTAGATAAATAGGTACCACTTTGGTGGGGAGGTAACAGCGTTCCGTGCGCCTTGGTGTTTAGTCATGCCGGCCACATGACCACGGAAACGTCTTCGGGCAGCGCTGGCTCTTCGGCTTTGAAACGGAGATGAGCACCGCAACCCTAGAGTCGGATTCGACTGGCTTTTGAGCAAGGGAACCTTTACCTTTTATACATCTTTTCAGGAGAGACCTGCTGGGTCAGACAGCACATAGCACGGCTCTTCGTTTGGTGTGGCATGTATGCACACGCGCAGAAAGACCAAAGGCAGTGGATCCCATGCATCCTGCCTACATGTGGCAGTTTTTCCCCATCTCCTTGCCTTCACGGCAGCCTTTGCTTCATGAGCCCTCCAGCCCCCACCTTTTGAGCTCTCGCAGGTGGCTGCTGGGGGAAGTGGAAAGGAGAGACGATCCATTTCTGCCAAGGCTTTCCATTGGTTTATTTCAGGATCCAGTCCCATACCCACCAAAGAGACTGAGGGGATGTTAAAGGTTGTTTAAGGTAGCCAGCGGCATCTGGAGACTAGAACCTTTTTTTTTAGATGCATGGAGTGAACAAGGAAGAATGTGGTGGATAAATACTCATGTAGAAGAAGAGGGCCAGTTAGAGGACTAATCAGGTCGACCGAGATAAAAAAACCAAAGCCAATGCATCCTTGTTGCAGAGATAGAAAATGTAAACTGATCAACTGAAGTCCAAGAGAGTGACAGATGTGGGGGGAAGCAGCATTAAAATCCCCACTGATAGTCCGGGGGGGGGGGGCTGACGCACACCTAGCCCTCACAAGATAATGCTCACTATATCAAAAACAGGAATACTGAGTAGGACTCACAAATACCTTCATGGAAAAGTGAACACCTGGGAACCCTCAATTTGGGTGGAGGTAAACGGGTCAGTCTCATCCTAGACAGCTTGCAGGAGTTCCAGAAGCAGGCAATTGGGTCCCCTGGGTCAGATGGGGAACCAGTTCCTTGTTTTTATAATGGGGAAATAGAGGAAAAGAGGAAACTCCCATTGGCCTTTACCCCGTGACAAACCAGAAGGGGGATCCTGCTAAATCGTTCTTAGTCAAGTTCATTCTGGGCCAGCGTTCCTTAAACGGCAGAACAATTCCTTGCCAGTATGTTAAATGTCAACCAGGGCTGGTTCCAGGTTTTGAAGGCCCTGGGCAGAGAGGGCTTAGGGCCCCGCTCCCCTGGCCACTCCCAGGACCCCCACTCACATCTCCCTTCCTGCCCCCACCCACATATCCCCCCACCTGCCTTGGCATCCTTCTCCTGCCCTCTCATCAGCCTTCCCACCGCCTATGCTCACAGCCACTTGCACGGCCTTTCCTCAAGGCACTGGGTAGTGGCATGTGGCTGGGAGTGCTGCTGCTGTGACCTTCAGAAGCACTGCTTGCATCACCCGTGCGCTCTTCCCTGGTGGTGCTGGGCAGCCCAGGTAGCCAGAAGCACAGGGGGTGGAGTGCTTGCAAGCGAGGGAAGGGCGTGTAAGCGAGGGTCATTGGCAGTGAGTCCTGGCAGAAAACCTGGGTTCTGGCAAATGCCCCATCTGAGGGTATGCCAATGCCAACCTAGACATCAGCCTCGGATAACAACAGCTTTAGTCAAACAGAAGGGCAGAGCCGCAACGCCGTGCCCAGTTCGGAGAGGCGGCCAGGCTCACAGGAAGAAGGGAGGTCTTGCTCCGGCGACGACAGAAGGGCCATTAACCAGCTGTTCTTTGCCTTCCCCTTCCCACAGACAAACAGATGAGCCAATGGAGGCCGATCCCGTGTTGTGAAGTGCCAAGACTTCGATTTGTGTAGCTGTCACTCTGTGGGTTATAATTGGTCATTTGTGATTTCGTTTAAAACAACAACAAGAAGAAAACAAATTAATTTTTTTTATCTATTAAAAAAAAACGAGAAAAAAAATAGTTGCACTGGACAACATGAGCCCGTGTGTGCGTGATCGCGTCTGTCTCCTGGCATTTGTTCTCACCAGCATCACCATTTTGTCCTAACTCTTTGGGGATTTGTGAGGGGAATTGGGGGGGGGGGGCTTTCACATGGGTATCTCCTCCGTTATTCCTTTCTTAGCCATCCTTCTTTCTCCCCACCCAACCCCCTCCCGGGTTGCCCCCAGTTAAGAACAAATTTTGCCATAACTACACCTGCACACCGACACCCCATCAACTTGTAGGCCGGGGGTAGGGTGGGAGAAAGAGCTACGTTTCCTCTGCAGAACTGCAGCTCTGTTAATCTGCTCCGTACAACTGAATGGGCGCTTTCGTTTCTTCCACTTGTATGGAGGTGAAAGGGAACTGGTGGCAGTCAGGACAATTGAGGCGGGGGCAAGGATGGATGGCGGTGGAACTGAGGGCTCCTGTAGCTTCGATCCTCTTGTCCCACAGGTGGGGGGTGGGGAGCTACATTTCTGCTCTAAGAGGTTTTTCTCATCAGCCTGAAGCCCCTGGGATCTTGCAGCCTGAGGCAGCCGCCTGTATCTCCATTCGGGTCAGGCCAGCTGTGCTCTCTGTTGCTGACTCTGTTATTGAAATGCCATTTTCTCTCTACCTGGGTTCTTTGCACATTGAGATGGGATGGAAGGCAAATTCACAGATGCATTTTCAAATATCTTTTCCCTATCTTCCCAGCTTCTGATATTTAGCCATTCCTCCCCCACCCCCCACGGTGATCCAAAATTCTTGGCTATAATCTGAATTTTGTTGCCTATGTCTTTCTTCTGATCTGTTTAGCTATCAAGTGTCCCTCAGTATGTATAATTCTAAATGACTCTCTAGGAGGGAGTCCCCAAGGTGAGGAGAAAGGGAAAATGTGTGCCTTTAATTCATTTTTGTTAATGCCTTAATTTCCCTGTGCGTTTACGACCTCTTCCACGCACCCTTGTACAAAGTGACTCTTACAACCCTCCTTCTCTCTCCCCCCCCCCTGCCCCACCCTTCTTAGTTAGCATTCTCTAAGGGAGACAACCCTGTATAAATATGGAAAGGAATCACACGTAATCCCCCCCAGCACCAATGCACATTGGCCCCAATCCGGCTCTAGTCGTGCGTAAGCAATCTGTTAACATGTGACTAGTTGCACAATAGGATGTTCTTCCCATTCAAAGCAATGCCGTGCCGATAGACCCATCCAATTTACGTCTGCAGTTCCCAGTCCAGCAAGTGACACGTGCGTGAGCAAACCTGTTTACAAGCATGGGTCTCCTTAGCTGGATCAGGGCATGTGTAATTAAATCCCTTTTGTAATTAAGAGTGTGCTTATGTTGACTATTTCATGACCAATGCTTTCTGAAAATTCTCTTTTCTCTCTTTTGCTCTCTTTTCTTTTTCCTGTTGTCGCTGTTTGAAAGACTCCTCATCACTTACTGTAAATAATTTGATTTCTTGTATCACGTGCACAAACTTTGTTTCAATGAAACTTTGTCCATTCATAAAGAAAGAAAAAAGAAAAGAAAAAGGAGATAATTCTTTTTGCTGTTACTACTTCCCCAGCCAAAAAAAAAAAAAAAAGTGTAGAGCAATTTTAGCTTTTAAAAAGAAATGGATATAAAGAAAAAAGGTATATAATTTTATTACAGATGTATTATTTAATAGTATTTTTTTAACGTGTACCACAAAACTCTCCTTTCCTTTGGAAAGTCGCTGCCAGCCGGGGTAATGCGCGGCAAGGGAATCGAAGGGGCTTGTTGGGATGGTTTTCACTAATTCAGGGCAATGGGATTTGTAAGGGTGGGGGATGGGGAGGGAGGGGGGAGTCATGTGGAATTGGAGACTGTGATGTATTTTTAACTGCACTTTGGTTGCTAACCTCACCAGGATCTGTTTTTAAGGACACTTTGGGCTCAATTCGGGTTTAGTCTTCTGAAGTGTCCCGTGTGGAGAGCTTCCCTCCCAGCAGGTTTCTTGGGAGTTAATCGTGCTCATATCTGTGGGAAATGAAAAGCCAGGTCCGGACAGTGCCTTCCTTCCCTCCCTGCCTCTACTCCTGGTTTGGCACTGCAGCAAACATCTAAGTAGCCCACTCCAGAGGATAACAGAGGGACGAAAAAGGCCTTCTCTGTAGCCTGTTGTTCCAATTTACCAAAGTCCATGGCTTAAGACTGGTTCCTTGCGAATGCCGTACCAGATATATAAAACCCTGCTGGGGTGTGTTTGGGGGGGGGGCGTGCATGTGCAGAGAGAGGTAGAGATGGAGACCACTTGGCCCTGTGTGCTTTTGCCTCATTGGGATTCCCAGGGAGCAGATTTGGCTATCCATTACTAGGGGGTGTTTAACCACAGGTGCTCATTCTTTGCGCATGGCTCAGGTTTCGATGAGAGGGCATAAGCTGAACATCGGGGCCTGTGTGCATGGTTTTTGTGATGTTCTGAAGTTGCTTTGGGTCCTCAGATTTAGTGGCAGGGAGGGGGCAGCAGGGTAAGTGTCAGGCTGTTGTGTGGCCTACTGGACCCGCCTGTTTCCACATATGGGTTGTGTTTGCTAGATGCAAGAGCCAGGTGGTTTGTCCAGGGACAGGCAACACAACCCCGGTAGCAGTGGATATCAGGGCTGAAACACCTTGAAACGGCTCCTGCACAGCTCTGTAACTTGGAGTCATTCCTGATATACCGTTTGCATGAAGGGTTTGGGTTGGTATGTTGGCCTTGCAGTCCTGTCTGCTTCCCCAAAGGCAGTGTTGTTGAATGAGGAGTGGTAAGAACAGGCCAAGGGGATTTGCAAAGCCAGCAAGGGGGCGCGGGGGACATCAGTTTGGAATAAAAAAACGGAAACATTGGTTCTTTGCCATTAGAACAGTTTGTACATGCAGAGATGCCTTGTTGCTAGATACACAATTTTAAAACCTTTTGGTGGCAAGGTGTGCCCCTGTGTAATGAGACAGTTCATTTAAAAAAATGATTGTACATGTATAAAATCTGCAGTTGGTAGGTGCCATCTTAAAAGAGGTATCCCCCCCTTTCTCTTGCAGTAGGAATGCCTCTCCTAAGACAGTGTTGCCACGACACGTATGAGCATCGTTTCAAAGTAAACTCTTGTTTTACCCACAGGCAGACCTAATCAGTCCTTTAGTTTCTTTGATCAGGTGGACAGACCTGAATTTACTGACCATGCTGCTTGGGTTGCTTCAGAGATAAGACCGCAGATGTTTTGTCGCAGGAAGATGCAGTGGACACTGTCTAGCACAGTGATGGCGAACCTTTTAGAGACCGAGTGCCCAAGCTGCGACCCAAAACCCACTTATTTATCGCAAAGCGCCAACACGGCAATTTAACCTGAATACTGAGGTTTTACTTAAAAAAAAAAAAAACTCATACATTAACTTAAGATGATCCAAACAAAGTAAGGAAAGCAATCCCAAATGCTTTCATTTACTTAAAATTATTTGGCAGAGAATTCGACACTTTAATGATGGTCTGGGCCTGGCTGGGGCGATGGCACGCGTGCCCCCAGAGAGGGCTCTGAGTGCCACCTCTGGCACCCGTGCCATAGGTTTGCCACCACTGGTCTAGCACATTAAGATAGTGAGAAATATCTCAAAGCATGAATCAAGGGGACGAAGCAGAGAGCTGTTTCTGAGAACCTTTGATAATTTCTGAACTTCATATCCATAGTGGTGGTGTGAGGTTAATTCCATACACACACGTCTTTTTTTCTTCTTTTATTCATAGTGAGGGAAAATAAGCCATAGAGAGAGGAAGGAGCTTTGAGGAACAAAGACTTGGCCAGAAGGGTTACCAGTGAAGCTGTACCTGGCTTGATAAGCAGGCAGGCAACCCTTTGTTTGCATCTTAAACTCCACGCCCCTTATTGTTAACTAGGAAAAAGGTCCGTTGTGGAAATAAATGCAACGACGTCTAGAAAGAGGCTCTGGGCGGGTACCCCGGCCTTGGACACTCAGTGTCAATTTGCTATGGCAACCTCAGCAGGGTATAAGGACACTGAGTCCACCATTTTCTCCAGAGGAACTGATCTCTGCTACCTAAAGAACAGTTATAATTTTGAGTGATCTTCAGCCCACACCTGGAGATTGGCAACAATGGTTCACCAGAAGGGAATAGTTGGTTTGGAGGGTGGAGTCTATGGCTTTATACCTGTCCGAGGTCCCACGCCTCCTTAAACCTCACCCTCTCCAGGCTCCATCCCTCATATCTCCAGGAATTTCCCACCTGGAGTTGGCAACCCTATCTCCTTCCCAGCCAATCATCAACCTACCTTTATTTCCCCCTCATTCTTCAGCTTTCCACCCCACACACACCTGCAGCCTCTCCCATGCTCTGAAGCCCTGACTGCTACGTCACATTGGCTGTCATACGGGGGCCACCTCAGCAGCATATAAGGATAGAGAGCCCACCATTTTCTCCAGGGGAACTGATCTCTGCCATCTGGAAAGCAGTTGTAATTCTGAGTGATCTCCAGCTCTCACCTGGAGATTGGACACATTTTACCTCAGAACAGAAAACTGTTCAGAATGTTAGAGGCAAAAGCCAATCAAGTCGCATATACAAACGACCTCTGTGTTCCAAGGCAAAGGCCAATGAGGCTGCATATGCAAATAACCTCTGTGTTGTGATTGGCTATGGGGGGGGAGAGGAACAGCAAAATGTTTAGAATGTTGGAGGCAGGACTCAGGCAAAGCAGCCAGCGGATAGGGAGACCCTCTGAATGACAGATCAGAGAGCGAACTGATTTTGGAGCGTGTGGAATGTTCTAGAGAAGTTCCACCACCGTTCGGCTTTTATTTATAAGGGACAGTCATGTTTAGAGCTGTGTGGGGCACTTCAGTGCTGCCCCCAGCCTAGTTTATAACTGCTATGATCCAGATGGAGAGCTCAGTAGTCTCCCTGTCTTTTATGAACAACACTGTGAAGATGTATCATGCCTCTGTCCATACAACGGAAATGCCAAATCCCTGGCTGTGCTCAGGGGATGTGCTAACATGGGACAATGGATGAGCATGCCCCTAAAAAGGGCATCCCGTTGAAAATGTAGATCTCAGCCCCACAGCTGTGGCCCTGCTCCAGACTTTTGGAGTCTTTAAACGTGGCATCCCTCAACTATTCTGACATGCAAGACCATTTCCTAGGTGTAGGTTTACTCTCCACATTGGTGGCTAGCACCTTAGAAGGCAGGCCAGCACATTTTAAAGCAGGGCTCGCCTTTTCTCTTGCAGTTCAAGTGCAGCACCACCACCCCCCGCTTTCACAATGCACTCGTCACCCAATATGCTTTTTAGCCATTTGTACAGTAATCTCTGTCCACCTGGCTTGTTCATCTCCCCAGTCTTAAGGCAGGGTTATCTGCCTTTTTTTTAAAAAAAAGTAAAGCATAAAATGAACATTTTGTAACTTAGATGTTTGTTCATTTAAAAAATTCGTTTTAACAGAGCTGAAAAACTATTTGGGGGCGGTGCTGTCAAAAGCACTAGCCAATCAGTGCTGAGCACAGTTAGCTTCTAGAGCAGGGTGTCAAAAGCTGTTTCCCTGCACCTGAACCTGGACAGCAAGTGATATATTGGTGTGTATTTCCACAGTGGCTTAAACAATATACAGATGTACACACTGTTAATTTACACTTCGCCGGATGTGCAGGAAGTAGATACGAAAGGGAAGTACAAGGACATGTGGTTTTGCACATTCCCTGGTATAGGTTGCTCAGTTTAT